CCAGGTTTTCTTTCGGAATACCCTACGCAGGATCGATCCATCATTTTGCCTTTGCAGACGGACATCAAGGAACGCAATTTTATCGTCCACCTGGGTCTTTGCAGAAAATTTGAGTGATGGGTGCGCGCTGTTAAACTTCGCGACTAGGGCGTCAGTGTTAATGTTATAGTCTGTCAAACAGAAGATATCATCCACACATCGACCGTAGAATGCAAAGTCATTGATTGTGTCCCTTAGACTTGTTTCCTTGATCTTGCCCATAAAGACATTTGCGAGAAACGGGCCAAGTGGTCAGCCCGTCGCCACACCATCTATCTGCTTGTTTGACCTGATGATGATTTGCTGAAAACATGTCTGCCAAATTGGCTTCTGAAACATCTATCATCTTGCTTACTTATACGACCGGTAACAATGTTGTTGACTTTTCATGTACCGTTTTAAGGGAGTCTTTAAGGACTTCTCTCATTTACTTCAAGTATACAAACTGATACTGAATACGAGTAATACGGTTTCCTGCATGCTTGCCCTATATTATGCATGGTTAATTTTGCATAAACACCTAAAATTTATTAAAACACGCTATCTAAGCAGTATTTTGATCCTTTTCGGACTGGAAGAATTCCCACCCAAAATCCAGTTTTCTGTTATACAGGGGGTAAATCACATCTTGCTTAATGATACAAAGCAGTGTAGGCTCACTTACGCCACTTAAGCCTGCGTTTGGGGAGTTAAGATTTATTTTATCAGCGGAGAGGATAAGAAGAAGGGGATTTCTGGGTCCCACCGTTTTGACTTCTGGCCCTATACCACCGCAACATTAGCCACGTATAGGGATCTACCTGTCTTCTTCCAGCTTCGGGAGTTGCTGAGTCCTTACACAAGCGGCTCGAACCAGAGCACTAGACGCCCTTATTATGCAATGATACTACAAGAGCGCCAGAGTGGAAAGCAGAGTGGTTCGCCACGCCACCCAGGCGACTGAACTGATCATTCTCACGCCAGTCATTTGGTTCTGCCCTCTAAAACCGGGGTCTAGTTCCGCCATATTCTTTGAATGCTGCAACCTGACGACACTCATTTGTCCCCCCTCCCCCCAACTTTTATTTCTCTTCTTCTTGCTCTCTTTCCTTGCTTGCAGGCGGCAGCTGCCCTGAATGCCTCGCCTTTTGCCTTCTTGGACTTCGAACTCTTTCAAGTGTTTCGACGCAGTCGCCCTCCCAAGCACAGTCTCATCACTAGTATCACCCTTAGGCTAGCAGATATGTTGGCTGTGAGCCATCGACCGCTGTGAGTCGGCCCTATCCCCTGCTCTCTTGCTTCACTGTCCCCCCCCTCTGCGCTTCTTATTTCCTTTTCGCACGATTCCGCCTGCTCTGTGCCGCCTGCGTTTAACACCTTCATTCTCCCCCCTTTTTCATTCCACCTTCCACAATTTAACTTCAACATAACTAGCTACCACGCTGCTGGCAGAGCTGAAGAGTATTCTCTAAGGCAGAACGGCGGGACGAGTGAGTTATGTTAGTAGTCAGTGAA